TTTAAAACTTAGGTATGGAGTACAATCAGTGGATAGCACTTGCCTAAAGACATAATTTTTGTAACCAGAAATTTGGGGTGCTAGGGATCATTTTCAATTTCTTGCACTTCTAGGTCTCCTCAGCAGAAAGTGCGAATAGCATATTGCCTTCTCAAGTTTTGTAGCATTAAATATTTTACTTGTGTAAAAGAGCCAGAGATTCAGTGGGAAAAAGAGTTCTAACCCTAGAAAAAGGATGTAGACTAATGTGAAAGCCAACTCTCTTCTCAGAGATTTTATACTGATTTCCAATGTACAGTGTTCCCTCGCCGCTTCGTGGCTCGTTAACTGCGGACTCGCTGATTCGCACTTTAAAAAAAAATAATTTAAAATACAAGTAGCATGCAAATAGAGGAAGAGAGAGAGAGGGAGGAGGGGGAGAGAGGAGTGGGCGGAGCTATACTATACATATACAGTATAGCGTCCCTACATTGCGGTTTTTCACTTATCACAGGGGTTCTTGGAACGGAACCCCTGCAATAGGTGAGGGAACACTATAGATGCAGGAGTGATGATCATGTAGACCTGACCTCCAGATGACAATGAACTTAAACTTCCTGTGGATTTGGCTGCCACAGCCAATGATAAGCAATCTTAGGAGTTGTACTTCAGCATCATGTGGAGAGTGATGCAGTTGCCACTCATGTTAGTGTCTGATAATGGGGAAAGAAAGGGATGGGGCTGGAATTGTAAAAAGACAAATGTTATTAGATATGTGTGTGAGTCAATACAAGTCTCTCAAGGCCTAATGCAATCTATAGGATGGTAGCAACAATCATACCATAGATACTAAAAGACAAGGGAGTTACGGATGGATGGGAATTTCTCAAGAGTGAAATACTCAAGGCGCAATTGCAAACCGTGCCAACAAAGAGAAAAAATAGGACAAGTGCAAAGAAGCCAGAATGGATGTCCAAAGAACTTCTAACTGTGCTAAGACACAAAAGAGACATGCACAAGAAGTGGAAAAAGGGAGAAATCACCAAAGAAGAATTCAAACAAATAGCCAACACCTGTAGGGAAATGGTCCGCAAGGCTAAAGCAAAAAACGAGCTCAGACTTGCCAGGGACATTAAAAACAATAAAAAGGGCTTCTATTCTTATGCAGTAGAAAAAGGAAAAACAAGGAGGCGATAGGACCTCTTCGAGGAGAAGATGGGGCAATGCTGACAGGGGATAGGGAAAAGGCAGAACTACTTAATGCCTTCTTTGCCTCGGTCTTCTCACAAAAAGAGTCATCTTCAACCTCAGCAAGATGGAGTGGATGAGGGATTAGAGGACACCAACCCCAAATTGGGAAACAAGTCGTCCAGGAATACCTGGCCGCTCTAAATGAGTTCAAGTCCCCAGGGCCAGATCAACTACACCCAAGAGTATTGAAGGAACTAGCGGAAGTCATTTCGGAACCATTGGCAACCATCTTTGAGAGTTCTTGGAGAACGGGAGAAGTTCCAGCAGATTGGAGGAGGGCCAATGTGGTCCCAATCTTCAAGAAGGGAAAAAAGGATGACCCAAACAACTACCGTCCGGTCAGCCTCACGTCGATACCAGGCAAGATTCTGGAAAAGATTGTTAAGGAAGCGGTCTGCAAACACTTAGAAACAAATGCAGTCATCGCTAATAGTCAACATGGATTTATCAAAAACAAGTCATGCCAGACTAATCCGATCTCTTTCTTCGATAGAGCTACAAGCTGGGTAGATGCGGGGAATGCCGTGGATGTAGCGTACCTTTTCAGTAAGGCCTTCGACAAGGTCCCCCATGACCTTCTGGCAAGGAAACTAGTCCAATGTGGGCTAGGCAAAACTACGGTGAGGTGGATCTGTAATTGGTTAAGTGGACGAACACAGAGAGTGCTCACTAATGCTTCCTCTTCATCTTGGAAAGAAGTGACAAGTGGAGTGCCGCAGGGTTCCGTCCTGGGCCCGGTCCTGTTCAACATCTTTATTAACGACTTAGATGAAGGGCTAGAAGGCATGATCATCAAGTTTGCAGACGACACCAAATTGGGAGGGATAGCCAATAGTCCAGAGGACAGGAGCAAATTCAAAACGATCTTGACAGATTAGAGAGATGGGCCAAAACTAACAAAATGAAGTTCAACAGTGACAAATGCAAGATACTCCACTTTGGCAGAAAAAATGAAATGCAAAGATACAGAATGGGGGACAATGCCTGGCTCGAGAGCAGTACGTGTGAAAAAGATCTTGGAGTCCTCATGGACAACAAGTTAAACATGAGCCAACAATGTGATGTGGCGGCAAAAAAAGCCAATGGGATTTTGGCCTGCATCAGTAGGAGCATAGTGTCTAGATCTAAGGAAGTAATGCTACCCCTCTATTCTGCTTTGGTTAGACCACATCTGGAATATTGTGTCCAATTCTGGGCACCACAATTCAAGAGAGATATTGACAAGCTGGAATGTGTCCAGAGGAGGGCGACTAAAATGATCAAGGGTCTGGAGCCCTATGAGGAGCGGCTTAGGGAACTGGGCATGTTTAGCCTGAAGAAGAGAAGGCTGAGAGGAGACATGATAGCCATGTATAAATATGGGAGAGGAAGCCACAGGGAGGAGGGAGCAAGCTTGTTTTCTGCTTCCTTGGAGACTAGGACGCTGAACAATGGCTTCAAACTACAAGAGAGGAGATTCCATCTGAACATTGAGGAAGAACTTCCTGACTGTGAGAGCCGTTCAGCAGTGGAACTCTCTGCCCCGGAGTGTGGTGGAGGCTCCTTCTTTGGAAGCTTTTAAGCAGAGGCTGGATGGCCATTTGTCAGGGGTGATTTGAATGCAATATTCCTGCTTCTTAGGCAGGGGGTTGGACTGGATGGCCCATGAGGTCTCTTCCAACTCTTTGATTCTATGATTCTATGATTCTATGAACAAGCTCATGTACTCCTGTTCCCGCCATCCAGCTTCAAAGTAGTACAAGGAAGATTTTAAAAGTACAACTGTCGCAGTTTAAATTAATAGGTGTCTGCTTGTTGGCTGTGAGTAGAACACTCTGGTCATCTTAAGCTGGAGTGGGCAAAGCACAGCTTATGGGCCGTGCTTTATTTCTGAGAATTTTTAAAATTTTGTTCCAAAAATGCTCTGGGATGTGTGGAAGGCATATCCCCCACACCTGGAGCCGTTCTGGGCCACCTAAGAGTACAAACAAARAAACAAAACCAAAACCTCTTTGCCAAATTGTACTACCTTACAGGAAGCCCCGAAACATGGTGAGATATTCACCATGTGCCCTGGAAGCATTTGGAGCAAAAGATAACKCCCACCCAGCCCKCCCCCCCCCCCCCGCTAAGGTTTTCTGGGGTCCTAATGTGCCCTCTTAGCATTCCTTGGTTGCTCACCCATTTCAATTTTTTTTATTGAAGCAAACCAAGAGAATAAATCACAGTTTGATCTAGGCTTGTTCCAGTAAGCCATAATTGTAAGCTAAATGGTCTGTCTTTGTTGGATAAGAAAGCGGGGGGGGGGGGGGGGGGGGGGAGTTGAAGGAGGAAACCATTTCCCCCATTTCCCGTTCTTCCCTTCCCATATCATAAACTAGGGTTGTTTCCATGGCAGGGACATAGGTGAGGGGGAATAACATAAAAACGGGGGGGGGGGGATGGTTTAACTCCTTCAACCCACCGTCCACCCCAATAAAATGGACTATCCTTCTCTCCAGGGCCCTCAGTGTCCTCCACCCAGATAATGGAACAGTACTGATAAGTGTTCTATTTCTTTACAGGTAATGGTACTCAAGACAGTGGGATAAATGCTCTGCTATATCCTTTTCAGAGAGATAGGTCTAAAATACAATGTCACTGTCAATATGTTTATAACTCAAGGCTCACATGAGTGAAAGTTATTTCTTGGCAGTAGGAATTCTGTAAAGATTCTATTCTCTAGTGGGATGAAGGAACAATCCACAACACATGGGTTGGGGCAAGAATCTTCAAAATCCAAACCATTCCAGCTGTGTCGTCCGGTTTCTTGCCCTCAGTTTTTTTTCTTACCTATCTTGCCAACCAGTTAAGTTCCTATCTTTTCCACTTCTTTCCTTGAGCTAATTAGGTAGTCATATGGCTTCTGATTTAGTTAGTAAAACAAAATGCTTATGAGGCCTTAGATGGCTTATTAAATTTTTTTCCACTTTAATCTTTTCATAAAGAGTTCAGATAATGTTTTAACTGATGCTGATTTTTTAAATGTTGGCTTTGGATGTTGATGTTTTATGACTTTCTTTTTAGTGAGCTACTTCGAATTCTAAAAGTAGGATGCAAATAGTTTATATGATTTTTGTAATTGGCTGGCAAGAAGCAGTCGTGTTGATTTTGCTGGGCTCAGAAGATTCATTTTAGTGAAAGCTTTACTGATACCAAACTTTAGTATTGTTTTGTATTGTTTTTCTGTGGTGTTGACAGAAATGTGACTATAGAAACATGACTTTCTTACTTGATTTAAGATGCATATTTCTTAGTATGCTAGTTCACCAGTTTTTGAACAACACTTACCGAACTGTGCATTAGCACCTGCCCTTTACATTTGAATGGTCAGAGCTTGGAACACTTTTTTTAAAAAAGTTAAATACTTGTTGCCCTTTTAAAAATAATCTTAAGCAACAGACAGTTATTTTGTTTGTAACACCTTACTTACGAGTTCAGTGTATGCCAAAGGCAAATTGGCTGAATTTGTGTACTTTCATGGTTATTTTTCAGAATTTTACCACACAGATTATATCAATAGATCTGTATCAGAAATTCTGAAAGATAAATGAATCTCTTGAACTGTCTGCTTGATTTCTACTCTATTGCATTGCAGTGACTTATGCATGATGTCATTACTGGTGCAGCTAACAGCACAATTTTAATTTTGTGCTATGCATTCCTAGTATGCTTGTTTCAGATAAAAGTCTTCATATGTTTATAGCTGTTTGATCCTTTCAAAGTCATTTAAGAATTATTTTGTATTTCAGAGCTTGTATATCACTGGGTTCTAAAGCACGGACTATTGGAAATGCAGCAAAGAGCCAGGTAAACATTTCACTATACTTAACTTAATGAAATATGTTGTGTTTTCCAGCCATGTTTCTTAACTTTTCATTGGAGTATTTCTACTAAGTCCCAATGTTTGCCATTGGAAATTGTATTGGAATAATACAGAAAGCAAATTTAATGGAATTAACTTTATTTAAAAAATCACCATGTCCAGATGTTATCCAAGAATTCTTAAAACCATAACTGTAAAATTGCTCCTCCTGTCATATATTTTATTACTTGTTCCCAAGATATGCATCTGAAGCATTGCTGAAAAAGAATCAGGATGACTTTTGCAAACCCTTGTCATATTAATCTTTTAGCGTTCTATGAGAGTTTTAATAAGTATGTGGACAGGGCTGATTAAGTACACATTACTTGGATATTGAAGGGCTTTTGATAAAGTCTTCAGCAAGAACTACTGATAAAATTTAGATAAGAGAAGTCCAATTGTCAGTTGCTAATAGAAAGTAGAGAATCAAAATAAAACACCAGTTCATTTACTGGGTGCATGTAAAAGAGTATATTCCACCATAGATTGGGGGGACGGGACGACTGTATTTTTTAACTTGTTCCTATATGTTCTCGAAATGAGGTGAGGAAGTAGCCCAGTTTGTTAATGGCACCAGATTATTTAAGATGATTAGAACAAAAAGTGATTGCAAAAAACTCTGAGGTATCTTGCCAGATTGAAAGAACAGTAATTAAAATGACAAATATAGGTCGGAGTAAGTGATGCATGTTAGAGAAATGAAATCCCAACTTTGCATATACGCTGATGCAATATGAGCTGACAGTGACTAATCAACAAGGGTGTGGTGGATTGCTCAATGAAAGCATCAAACCATTGTCTGCCAGGGGGGAGGAGGAATTAAATTCATTGTTGAGCATAATTAGAAAAGGAATAATTATGAAACTGCCTTTATAAAAATATAGGTATGTTGTACTACCCATATATAGTTTCTTAGTGCTGCCTCATATAGAACATATGGTTCTGGTTTCTGAAAAAGTGTATTGTACACTCATCCCTCCACATTTGTGGTTTTGACTTTTGTGAATTTGATTGATCATGGATATGATTTAAAATATTCTCTCTATGGAAATCTAGGTCCTCCAGTGTGACTCTATGGTCAACCTCCTCTAGTCATGCTGGAGGACTTAGAGAATCTTTGGTCAGTTTCTAGAGGAAGTTGACCATAAGAATTGTGCTGGAAAACCTAGAAATTCCTAGAGAGCTGTTCTCTCAGGTAAAAGAAAATAGCTTTTTTTAAAAAAAATTAAATTTTTATGGTGATCTTATGCTACTAACTCCAGCAACTGTGGCACGATGACTGTAAAATTAGAAAAAGTGGATTGGAATAGCAACTCCTTCAGAGAGTTTACAGTGTTTCAATATGTGTAGCTTAGAAAAAGGCAAGTGAACAAAAATTTTAGGTTTTTTTGAAAGATGATCATCAAGGTCATGTTGGATACATATTATATCAGTTTATCACAGAAAGTATATAATCTGTTGAGAAACATGAGTGGGATTCTGTTGTTCTGACCTTGCCATAGGCAACAGGTTGACCATTCCGTCAACAACATGTTGGAGCAGGTACATTGATATTTCTTTGATTAATATAGTATCAAATATAACAAAGAGGGATTGCAAGTGGAGCTAATATGCTTATGTATTTATTAACTGGTAGGAAAGTTTGCGTGGGTTACACTCCCTCTTAGTTTGATTTGCTACTATGTCTGAATGAAGACATTATTATTGGTACCCCTATGTGCACCAGCTGTTGGGGGAAGCAACCTTCTCAATCCTCCTCTATATGATGTTTGTCTGTTTTGTAATGTTTCATTTTATAACCTGAAGTATATGTCTTATTTGAGTTACACATTCCTTATTTCTATATACCTAAAGCACTGGGAGGGGCTGCAGGTCACATGACTGACTCAGTGACAGTTTCAAATGCTTAGGATTAAACAGGATGACAGTTAGGGAATTTCCATTGAGGAATGACAGAGAAGTGTGTTGGTTTTTGAATGAACTTGAGTATAGAAGTCTGCCAGAGTGCAGAAACTCATGTTGGGAAGTTAGAAACTATTGAGGCTTGTGTTTTATTTTAAAATAAAATATTATTAAAGAGAGCTGTATAAAACAATATAGTTTATAAAGAAACTGTTAAAGATTATAAATTAAAGATACAAACTCTCTGAAACATTACTGAAGTTTTTAACCTTTGACAAGAAATGTGCCTGTATCTTTAAATACATGAAGATATCAGTAAATAAATCTTGTTATCTTTAAACGAAATCTGCTTGCATCATTGTCTGCTGAAAGCATCAAACAGAAACAAAATATCTACATGCCTAGCAGTCCTCCATTACCAAATAAACTCTACTACCCGGATTAGGTTGTGATCCTAACAGTTCATGACCTAAACCCCAATGGTTAGTGATCCTAACAGGTCATGATTCATTATGCCCCAATACCAGCTAATATGGTCTATCCTTTAGTCTTATGACAGTGGTGTCTCTTTAGGTTCCTACTCCCAAGTGTGAAATGAAGAGGTGTGCACAGCAGGTGAAGAGATAACCCTATTCTTCTGTTAACTTGCTAATCCTAGGGCCCTTCCACACAGCCCTATATCCCAGAATATCAAGGCAACCCCCCCACATTATCTGAGTGTGGACTCAGGTAACCCATTTCAAACAGATATTGTGGGATTTTCTGCCTTGATATTCTGGGATATAGGGTTGAGTGGAAGGGCCCCTAGTGTTAACCTAATTTATCAACTTATTTGCTAGTTAGGCAAGTCTGCTGCTAAAATGGACTTGCCCATTTCAGTTAATTAAAATTATGTTGTTGTTTTTTTAAGTAACAGATGTCTGGAAAGTTTCAAGTATCTAGGTTTCATAGTGTCATATCTGCAACTCTGACATACAAGTGTTTTATTTTCTTTATTATTTATATTTCATATCTTTGATACCCATGTGCTTTCTTAGTAGTTACCAGTACATCCCAAAATGTATTTAATCTTTACTCTAGCAAACTCTAGAATTGTGAGGTAACCAAAGATATAGTATATATCTTCAATAATTAGTAATGGCTGTATTATACTTCCATAGATGATCACCAATGTTAAGAATACATTACATGGATTCAAAAAGTTGCATGGGAGGACATTTGATGATCCTTTTATAAAAGGTGAAAGAATGAGACTGCCGTATGAACTTCAAAAGTTGCCTAATGGAAGTGTGGGAGTAAAGGTGAGCTTTTCATCTTCTATTAGAGATATCTACAAATGATTTGCTTAACAAATTATCTCTCTAGTTTGTCTTTCAAGATACAAAATTTAATAAGTGGGTGGATCTGGAAAAACTGGAAGAGCAAACTTGTATTGACATCATCACCATTGATTCCCAGTGTATGTCATGCCTTATTTTGTCATCAAGATAAATGTAACTTATTTAACAGCCAGGGACAAAAATAACTTGTACGGGCCACTAGACTTCTGCACAAAATTAAACATAAGTTTGGTGAATAAATTTAAGATCGGTTGCTGCAATTAAATCAGTGTGGATCCAAATATATTATGTGTTCAATTTATCTCAAGAGCAGACATAGAAACACAAATGCCGTGTTCTCTAAACAAATATGAAATATTAATACATATCCGAACAAACATTAAAGATTTAGTGTCAAAAATGTGTAATCTTTCTATCGAATCAACATACCCAGAGGGATTCAAGAAGGCATGGGGCACTGATTTACATACAAATGTGTCAATGATAAATGGAAAACATTTTGGAAAAGTCTTCCAATAATATCTGCGTCTTCCCATATGAGAGAACATGCTTTAAAATAATATATTGTTAGTACCGAGCACCAGTAAAAATGGAATACCATATTTGCTTTAGTATAATGTACACTTTTTCTGGCTAAATTGTTTAGCCAAAAGTGATGCACATATTACAATCGATAGTATTTTAGATTCGTAAGCATGCCTGATGGAGGAGCGGAAGCTTCCCAACTGGCCTCATTCACGAGGCCTTCAAAACCTCCCACTCAGTTTTGAAGGTCTCCTGAATGAGGCCAGTTGGAAAGCTGGCAGCCCTCCATCAGGCCAAAGCTGGCGCCCCTTCCCTTGCTTGTCAGCCGAGGCTTAACAGCTGACAGTCAAGGGAAAGCCACACGCCTCCATCAGAATGGTATAAAAAACCAGGGGAATAGCACTTACAGTAAAGCTGACTACTGTACAAGATCATAAAAGTGACAAGTCAGAACTAAGCTTCTTTTCAACATGGTTTCCTTTGTTCATCTTATCATCAACGGTGAGGAGTTTCCATCTCCTCCATAGTTACATTTGGGCCTATGGGGAGCTGCTTTAGTCAAATGTAAATTTATTGTTATTTTTTCATGCTATGAACCTATGAACCATTAAGATTTTGCTTTTGGGGAAATGCCATATTACACTGAGTCTAGGAAACCATCATTTGTAGAATGCAGCCCTTTATTGAACTCAGACTTGTGTGTGTGTGTGTGTGGGGGGGGGGTCAATTGCAAGACTTGCCCCTTTTATTTGTTTTTTAAAAAACAAAATTATTCCTAACTCCAACTTTACTTGTTTGACTGCCCAACTGTCCTGGCCAATCCTTGGAAAGACTTCCCAACCCTCCACCATGCTGCCTGCACCTCCCAAACCCTTCACTTTCCTTTCGTATTGCCACCGCTGCCTCTTCCCTCTGCTGGTCTGGGCATGCTGCCCTTGCCTGGGTTTGTTTTGAAGAGAGAGGGTCACAAGGCGGTGGTGGCTCAGAGAGCATTGGGAGCTGCATAGTCCCTTTTTCTATCTCTGCGTGCAATGTTTCTCTCCATTTCTCTCTCTCTCCCTTATCCTGCTTAATGCCATTGGGAGTGAAGGCTAGCGGGGACAGGGAGACAGATGGAGGAAGCCCTATGTGCCAGGAGTGCAAGGTAGTGGCAGTTCTTCATTGCTCCCTCCATCCCCCTCAACGCTGTCCTCTACTCCCAATGGTAGCAAGCAGAATAGGGAGATAGAGAGAGAGACTATGCAGCTCCAGTGATCTCTGAGTCCCTTCCACCTCAAGATGAGTTAGCCATGAATCGCTGTTAATGAAACGATTTTTAGTTTTCTGAGGGCCATTTTCGTGTAATTTCCAAAAACAGAAAGGAGAAGAGAGAGGAAAAGACCATTGAAACGAAGTCAGAGAGACTATGTTTTCGAAAAGAATTAAGTTCACAATATACCCGAGGCAGGGGAATCTGTGTCGTCTTTTTCTCTCCTCAGGAGAAGAAGTCTCTTCCATTTTTTCTTGGAAAGATTTAATGAAATACAATAATATGCAGTGCCTAGAAAATGTTTTGTTTGTCTTGTAAAAATGTTACATTATTCCATTGTGTCACATTGTTAATAACTTATATAAAATCAAATCAGTAAATAATAAGTAGTAGTAAATGGATCTGGGGTCCGGTTTTTACCATAGATTATTACATAAGTGAACTGCTTTAATAATGTCAGTGTTTATTTTAATGGGGTTTCTTTAGGTCGCCACTAAACTGTCAAGGGAAAATCCTTTAAAGAAGGTGTTTCCTGCTTATATTTGATATGTTTCTGTGAAATCAGTATACTTCTGAGCCACAAAGGTGGTTCTGGATGACATACAGGGCAATGACTTCCTGGAACCGAGAATGTATGCAGAAGGGAATGAAGGATAATAAAAATGAGACAAGTAGAGACTGGAAATGTGGCATACTACAACGCAATCCTCCTTGTGTTCTGTGTTCTTTCATTCTCAGGATAACTTGGAGAATAGTCCTCTACAGATGGGGTTTCCCATGTGCCAATGCAACTGCAGGAATCCACATTCTTTTTCTGTTAGTTCCATTGAAACCCCTTCCTTCTCTTTTGTTTTTTTATCTTTTGCACTGCCAAAGAGACGTGCTTTTAACTTATCCAAGATAGATTTATTTAAAGGAGGTAAACAATTAATAATACAGATGAATTTGCAGTACAGTCCTGGCCTAAGAAACAAACTGTCCAGTTAACACTTTCTCAGCGAGTCACTGCAGATGAGTGAAAAGGGAAGTTTAAGAGAATATTTATGACCTAGAGTGAGAGTCAAGCAGAGGATGTGAAGTCATCCAAAGGCTCAAAAAGTAGCAAGGAGGCGGGAAAAAGAAAAAGTGGTAATGTAAATGAAAGAACTGGAAAAACTTAAGTTACTGTCTCACCATGGAGAAACAAGCGGTCGGTAGATTCTCTGGAACATAAAATATATATTTTCAAAAGCAGCATACAAAGAGAGCATGGCCCATGACCAACAGCCCCAAGAAGCAGAAACAGTACACACAGATGAGGAGGTGTCACCTCCAGAAGATGTAGACTCCAGTACTGACAGACAAATAGCTCAAGTGGGGTGAGGATTGATGCTTTGGTGACATTTCACATTCAATCTATTGCTTATTCAAGTTGTTTCTTTGGGGTACTGATTTTTATTTGGGGCCAAACCAAAAAGTAAGTATCTACCTTGTCTGGTGCAATAGAGGCTGTACCGGAAGAGTAGTTTTATCCTGGCATTTATTCAGTGTTCCTCGCTGTACCAATAGGCAATAGTACTCACTGCCCCATTCTGAAACTTGATATCTTAATGCTTTTGTGAAGCCCGGGTGCAGATATGCACTGGTGGTCAGATGGCTGCATGCTTTTCCACCAATGCTTTTCCACTCTCAGATAATTCTGAGAGTATTGAGGACAATATAACAGGAAAGAGCAAGTGTGGTAACTTATTAGCCACAGAGACCTTGGTTGCAGTTGTCAATACAGGAACCTCTAGATTAACCAAAGGCTTAGGACATGTTAATATGGTCTAGTAAAATATCACGATCTATAGTGGTTGAATCTGAATGTATGGATACTGAAAGGATGAACTTGAAGACATGTGGATACTCGATGGCAGTAACTGATACTATTACAGCTTTGAGAAAGAGATAAACTCTAAACAGCTATAACATTACCTTGAGGACATTTGTTTAGTGAAAGGAGCTAATGGGAAAAAACATGAACTTCTGCAGTTGGGTTGGCACATGGGATTGGCACATGGGATTGCTCCTCCTGCTCCTCCAGGACAATCCTTTCCTGCAAGACTAGTCTTTTATTCTGGCACAAACAGTAAAGCTACTAAAAATTCTCACCTCTCAAAACAAGTTCCTAATACTTTTGTTTGTAAATAAGGCTATTGTGTATTTGTGTGTAGTTATTACACAGTAAAAGAACTATCCAAGTTGTTTACTATCCTGTAAGAAAAGTGTTTGTCTCTGTGAGATAGAGAAAGCTAGTTTTCTTAATTGTACACTGAACAGAACACAATGACCAATTCCTGTTTTACTTACCATATATCTGTATATCTATATCTATGTATCTATATTACATTCATGCTTCACTTATTAGGTTTACATATAAAACATTTTCGTGTACATCCTAAAGAACATTAAAGTCTTAGTAGGTTGTAGTACTTATTACGTAATTTAGAAAAGTGTTACTTTTATGGAGAGTGCTTTAAATATTATTATTTAAAAGCTTACATTTAATTTTTGAAAATATAAAATGAAACACTTCTAAAGATGTGTTTACATGGATATAATTCTTTTACATTATAGGTACGATACTTGGATGAAGAGAGATTATTTGCGATTGAACAGGTTACAGGCATGCTATTGGTTAAACTTAAGGAAACATCAGAAAGTGCACTTAAAAAACCTGTAGCAGATTGTGTTATTTCGGTAAGTTGGCATTAAGATACTTATGAACTAGCAGCCTTATGCATTCCTGGGGAAGATCAACATGAAAGCTGTTGCTCAAAAGGAAACTTAGTACTGTATGTTTCCCAGATTACTCATAGATGTTTCATTGAATTGTTTTCACAGGTAATTCTCATAGAAATGTATTAGCGACATAAGTCTTGATACATTGTGTGTTTGTAAAATCTTGAAGAGAACAGTTAGTGACTTGTTTGTTTACTATGCTGTTTTCCATAGATTAGGATACTTATTATTAATTAAATAGAAAAAAATCAAAGCAGGGAGCATATTTTAAGTATGAATACTATACAGTGTTTTGCCTGTGCAAGGTGTTCTGTCTTTCATCTCCAGCTAAAAGGGTCAAATTGCAGGCCATGCAAGATAGACAAATAGTCTAACCTGAACACTTCTTCCCTTAGGACTTGTCTCCAAAGGCAATCTTCAAAACATTTAATTTACATGCACTTTATAAAGGAACCTGGAAATCTTACACATGCCAGTTCTACTTGCATTATAGGCTTTCTTTACTTTTTTTCTGCTGTTTATGATGACAATGACATGTATTCTGCATTGTACAAATGGTGACTGGAGATAGTTTAAACATACTATGTAAAGATGCATTAAAAAACTTGATATACTGTCCTTTGGTTTTACAAGGATTCTTTAGCAGAATGCTGAGACAGGCCTGCCATCAAGCTTACAGTCTAAAAATAATTGTGACAAAAATAAAATAGAGATTTAGGGAGAAGTAAGCAGATGTTCCTATCTGCACAACCTTAGTGACATGTTCAGAGAACTCTTTCACATGGGTGGTATTATTATTATTATTTGATTATTTGATGGCAAGATTAGTACACAGCGAACAAGATCACTGTGCTGGCTTTTGTATTTGATCACACGTCAGACACTTCCCAAGTGTCTAGGACTGTGTGATGTACTGGCGAATAATGCATGCAGATCAGAGTAGGGTGATCTTTTGCATTGGCAGATGGTAATTTTGTCAGCGCCAATTGTTTTTAAGTGCAGGCCAAGGTCTTTAGGCACTGCATCCAGTGTGCCGATCACCACTGGGACCACCTTTACTAGCTGCTGCTGCTGCTTCTTACATTTATCTCCCGCAGGAGACTCAAAGTGGATTAACATAAAAACATCAGCATACATATCTGTTCACAGCGAAGCAATTCATGCATTCTTTCATTATTCCCTGAATACCAAGGGTAGGCCATGAGTGTATGGATTGCACCTCCTGTCATTTATGATATAGAACAGCCTTGAATTCTGTTCTTTCTTTTTCAAACTACTTTCCTTAACTCCTCGTGATCCTTCGCATTCCTCCTTACAGCCCATCCTTTTGTAAGCCTTTGAACTCCATCCCTTACGCTGAACTGAACCACACGCAACTGAAATAAAGACACAGTTTTGCTCTATTTATCTCATTTCCATTGTAAAGCTCTTGTATTTTATAGAACATTACACATATAGATAGTGCTTTATAAATTAGCATCAGCCAAATAGTGGTGCCTAATTTCTTCCATCAGGTGGATTAAGAGAATTTCTCTTCCCCAGTGCACTAAACCTCCACAGCATTGTTTTTAGGGCTGAAATTGGGGGCTTTTGGGAGAAGGAAGATTTTCACAGTGCAGTGCCAGCATGATGTTGGATTTAGCAGCAGATTTGAAGTTGATGGTTTTCATATTTTAGTATATCTAATTATTGGACAATTACATTGAAGAAACCAGTATGTGTTTATGTGTTTAAATCTACGTAATCTGAGTATTTGCTTTACAATGATGTTTTTTCCCAATAAAATGGATACAATTTTTCCAGTTTATTAAGTTTTATTAAAATGTTTTTTCAACAGATACCAGGTTTTTTTACTGATGCTGAGAGAAGGTCAGTAATGGCAGCTGCACAAGTAGCAGGTTTAAACTGCCTGAGGCTAATGAATGAAACTACAGCAGGTATGCTAATGGTTTTAACAATTATTATGTTGAAATAATCTTTATTTAAAATATCATTTACCCAGGAGAGCAAGTGTATAGCTAGAATACTATTTGAATTACACAGAGTGTCATGCTTCTACAGGAACTTACAAATAAACTACATTAGGGGAGTCTCCGTCATGTGCCCCCCCCCCCCCGCCCGGGGCATAATTTTCTGTATATAATGTATACTCTCATAGAGCAATCTTATACTTGGGAAATTTACTCACAAATAAATAGCATTTGAGGGATTTCCCCCCAGAATTTTCTGTTTATAATGTGGACTCATAGAAAAATTTTACCTATGCTTACTGAAAAAAAATCATCTTTACCTGCCAAAACGCATCTCCCTCCATGAACCATCACTAAGATTAAGATCCTTTGGGGAGGCCCTCCTCTCCGTCCCACCACTGTCACAGGCGTGATTGTTGAGGACTTCTCAGTGATTGCCCTTGGGCTATGGAACTCCCTTCCTGGCGAGATTAGATCAGCCCCCTCCTGTCCTTCAGAAGGATGACAAAAACTTGGCTGTGGGACCAAACCTTTGGGACAGTGCAATAAGGCAGCAATAGAAAATCCTCCCATGCCAAATGGATTTGATAAGGATGATTGAGACAGTTTTAAACAGTGGATTTTAATGTTGAGATAAATGATTTTAATGTTGATGTATGTGTAGTGTCTATTTAGGTCCCGGCATTGAATGTTGTGCTCCACCCTCAGATCCCTTCAGAATGAGAAGGGCAGAATAAAAATGCTTTAAATAAATAAATAAATAAATAAATAAATAAATATTGCTCCCACATAAGTGTATAATGGAAAATGTTTAAAACAAGTGGAAGATTATATGTGCTTTATCATTTCTATTAGGTTCTGGAAGCTTTAATTGTTTTAAAAATGACTTATATTTCCCAATGTATGCTCTTTACGTTCTTACAGTTGCACTCGCCTATGGAATTTATAAGCAGGATCTGCCAAGCCTGGAGGAAAGACCAAGAAATGTGGTTTTTGTAGACATGGGACACTCTGCATACCAAATCTCTGTTTGTGCTTTTAACAAAGGAAAATTGAAGGTAAATGTTTGGAGCAGCATGTAATTTAGGGTTTACAGGCAGTCCCCAAGTTACAAACAAGATAGGTTCTGTACGTTTGTTCTTAAGCTGAATTTGTGTTAACTCGGAACAGGTACATTTTTGAAATGTAACTCCACACACACACACACATGTTTTGGATAGTATAGGGAAGGGTTAACTACTCTGTGGTGTTTGTTTTGCTGTCTGTGCCCCTGTTCAGAAGATTTCTCCTCACTTGGGGACTGCCCATATATAGAATTGTCACAATTATTGAGAATGTGTATTCCTTCGTAAATTTGAAAGGGGGCTGTAGAGACTACATCTAAAACATGTTGCCCACATGTTGCAAACACAAGAAATTTTCTCACAACCTGATCAACTGAATTGTCATGTCATATCTTTTACTTTACAGGTCCTGGCTACTACATTTGACCCATTTCTGGGTGGTAGAAACTTTGATGAGGTTTTAGTGGATTATTTCTGTGACGAGTTCAGGACTAAGTATAAACTGAATGTGAAGGACAATCCTCGAGCACTGCTTCGCTTATATCAGGAGTGTGAAAAGCTGAAGAAACTTATGAGTGCCAATGCCTCTGATCTTCCCATGAATATAGAATGTTTCATGAATGATGTTGATGTCTCCAGTAAGATGAACAGGTATTGAGTTCAGTTCTAAAATGTTTAACTAAGATGATAGCTCGTTCTTTCTGCTTTATGCAACCCTTAATGATCTTTCCTTCTCAAACAGGGCTCAGTTTGAACAGATGTGTGTATCTCTTCTCAACAGAGTAGAGCCTCCTTTACGAGCAGTGATGGAGCAAGCTAGTAAGTAAAGGCTACATCAGCTTTTTTGTTTCTATATTACTTACATGTTGTTATATTTTATGTTTGATTTTTGTTTGGTCAGTTTAGGTAGAAACTATTGCATTAAGAGTTGTTAAATGTGACAAACCATTCAAATCCAACCAAAATCATATCTCAGCCAATCAAATATACTCATCCACTAAACATGTACTTCCATAGCCAGAACAAAAGCATCTGTATGCAAAAGAAAAAATCATAGCACATTCGAGAAATAGAAAAAGTTTTGCTGGTAGTCCTTTCAGAATAAAGGGGAAAGTGCTTGATGTACCAGAATTGTTATGCTCAGGGTTAGCATCACTTTCAGTCTTCGTTCAGGACTACATTTAAATATATTATAGAAACATATTTGCCACAGTCATGTAGAAAGTAGAGGAAGTCCTAAAAAAGACATATTGGCAGTTTTCTCCAGATATGTTTACACTGGTTTTTTTTCATCAATGGAAACTAACACTCGTGTTTCCTAGAACTACAGCGTGAAGATGTATATAGCATAGAAATAGTTGGTGGAGCAACTCGAATCCCAGCAGTTAAAGAACAGATATGTAAATTCTTCTTTAAAGATATAAGTACCACACTAAATGCAGATGAAGCTGTTGCAAGGGGCTGTGCTTTACAGGTGAGTTTACCTAGTGTCATTATGTTGGTTAGTAATTTACCCAATATTTCTGAGATTTGTAATTTGAGTGGCTCACCAGTTTCTTTTATGAGTTTTAGTGCATCACATAATTATTAAAGCTTTATCAATGTAATGTGTGTGATTAAAATGTAGTTGAATAATGCTTGATAAAATTAAAATAAATGTCTCAGTTGTATGACTGGCTGATACTTTTTCTCTTTTGTAGTGTGCAATTCTTTCTCCTGCATTTAAAGTCCGTGAGTTTTCCATCACAGATGTTGTTCCTTATTCAATTACTCTGAGGTGGCAGTCTTCTTATGAAGAAGGAACAGGGTAAGAATTCTGAGATAAAAAGGCACGTAAGAGCACCAAATATACAGTTGGTATATCTACATATCAGTGAATTGTGATATCATTTGTGATATCAGTTGTGATACCTTGGCTCTCTAATAAGCATGTGTATTCGGGCCAAAAGGCATGCAATTTTCAGATCCGTTTTTGTCTGATCCCTCATTTTGTTTACCAGAAGGTTACCTGAAAGGGGAGGGGGGGGGGTTCTCTGTTTCATTTAGCAGAGATTCAGCCCATTGGCTACAATGGGAAACTTAAAAGGCCTATCTTCATGAAACCTACCTCAGTTGTAGACCCCAAATGTAGCCTGCCAAATTTTAAAACAACTCACCAATCTACTGATATTTTTTTTAAGTTTTAACCATAACATTTGGGAATTGTAGTCATTGGTTGTGTCCATTCTCAGCCAATCAGAGCATGGACACCACCATGCTTTTATTGGCTGAGAGACACAGAGTAACTAGGCAGAGGTTATAGTTGAATTACAACTTCCAAAAGTTTGAGTTAATAGAAAAATAAAAAGTATCCTGTTTTCTAGATCTTAACTGGTGTTTCACAGTGTGTATACATTTGTAGTGGAAAGGTACTCAGTAATCATAATTTGGCCTGTATGTCTCAGATCTGAAATAGGACAATAGTTCCATTGATAGGACCGGGTAATTTCATGTATTTCTCATATTGTAGCTATTCATTACTTGTGATTTACTTGCAATCTTACTGGATTTTAACTGTTAACATTTTCTTCTACAGCGAATGTGAAGTATTCAGCAAAAACCATGCTGCACCATTCTCAAAAGTTATTACTTTCCACAAGAAAGAGCCTTTTGAATTGGAAGCATTTTATACACATCCACATGATATCCCATACCCTGATACAAGAATAGGTAAAATGTTTATTTACTATTTGAACATGGTGTATTCTGAATATCTCAAACAAATATATTTGTGCAAGAAAATTAGGAAATCACAAAAATTGAAACTGATGTGTGTGTGTGTGTGTGTGTGTGTGTGTTATAAGTAATCTACTATGGAGATATAAATGCATGGAATTAAGTTCTGGAACTGTCTTGAGAAGAGATAGACATCACGTGGCTCTCCAAATACTGTTGGACTGCAACTCACAGCACCTCAACCACAAGATAATTTCAAATTACGTTACTGGATAGACGTATTTCCACAAATGGTGTTATATATTTCTTAAAATATGTATTAAAATAATACTTAACAGATTTGTCAAAAATGACATGTAGCAGTATTTGTAACAACAACAACAACAACTTTATTTGTAATCTGTGCTATCTCCCCGGGGGACTCAGGGCGGCATTTTTTCAACAAATATGTTAAATGTCATTGTTGATTGTACAGAATCATTCTTGGCAGATCTACTATCCTTGCCATAACATGTTGTCCTTCTTAAGTGTAACTTTATTTCCATAAAAGTGGAGCATGTTGGTTGGGAGTGAGAAGAAGGGAAATTACAATAGTGCCTTTGGCCAGCAGAATTAAGGTACCAGACACAGGATTTAATTTGAAATGGGTGGACAAGTTTGGATAGTAGTGCATGGGAAGCTCTCCAACCTATTTTTAATGTGAATTTCCAGAAAAAGAATTGCCTGGGTGGTGTCGGTGTCTCCAAAAACAGCATTGGGGTCTTCATGACCTAGAAGTACAAACTAGAGATTGCCAGTTGTTAACACCTACATGTTTTTAGATCTGTATTTGACCAGTAACTTGGTAACTAAATGAACAAACTAAAGAAAGACATTAGTATGTTTGACACAAGAAACAAATGCTAGCTATTTGTTTTATATTCTTCAGGTCATTTTGTTATTCAGAATGTTGGGCCCCAACATGATGGTGACAATTCAAAAGTGAAGGTTAAAGTTCGTGTTAATATCCATGGGATTTTCAGTGTGGCTAATGCATCTGTAATAGAGAAACAAAGTACAGACCATGATCCCGGTGAAGTACCTATGGACACAGAATTGTCCTGTAAGACTCAAAGCAAAGATGAACTGGTAAGCTAAATCGTAAAGTCACTCCTGATAATAGAGGTTGAAATGGGCAACATCTCTTAATAACCATGCAAGAGTAATGTTATAAAATTGAGTGAAATCTGTAAAAGTTTTTTTTCAATGAAAGTAAAGTTACTGAATTTCAATCTTGATATACTGCACTCTAGACTTACTGATATTTCAGAAACATATTCTTTTGTATCATTCTTCCCTTCAACTTTCTCTTCATTGACTTGTATTTCTTTTGTTTTGCATTCTCTTCATTGTCTTTTTTCTTATGTATATTTGTTCATAAAATTATAATTTACATGCATAAATATCTTTAGCATTTGAAATCTTTGTTTATTAATTTGATCTTACTGAAGAAAATGATTTTAAGAAGCAGGAACAGCTTAATTTGGAACAAAACAACCCCGAAGCCAAACATTGTTGTTTGGTTTTTGTTACAGTTGTTTCCACAAATAGATTTTAATTTGCAGATTTTTAGGTTGCCTCCTTTAGCCTTCTTAAACTTTCATGAATTTAAGAAATATCAAAAGCAAAATATTAAAATCTGGTCTGTCTAGATTTGAAATATGCAGTGTGAAAAATTACTTATTCATTCAGCCTCTTTCTAATATAAAAGCAATGTGAACAGCTGTCTTGGATAAAGAATATAGAAGGATAATCAGTGCAGTGCAAAGGCAACCATTTTTAATGTCTAAGACATGTTTCCTGTGGAAAAGCTACTAATTATATTCTGTTTTTACTATGATGCTTGTCAGCAATTACCTTTCATAATTGAGGATGAACCCCTCGACTCTGAGGATGAGGTTTGTTAAACATATAGCATTTAGTAGCTTTTAAAAAAAGTTAATATTCTGCCTTAATGTTCCTTTTCTGAGTAGAAAAGGAAAGTCTTTGAACTTGTGAAATAGCTGTGTATTTCAAAAGTAGACTATTGTTTGTCTTTGTGTGTTTTGATAATGTGTTCTTCAAATCTGAATATGCTGCAAAATAACTTGACCTTGTACATTTCTACCAAATTAAGACTAGCTGTTGGGATTATGGCTAGATGTTAAATTAAGAATAGTGTCAGATCATTTAGGTACATAAACAGAATCAAAACCATTCAAAAATACTTCACAGTTTCCACAGAAGCACTGAGATTACTTACATTGAGAGAATAGTACAATGTCCCTAAGCTTTTCTGATTCTGCATCACTATATGAATCTTTATGTATTACATCATATACTTGTTGGCCCACTTCCAGCCATGCTGTTTCCCCAGCATTTGCATACTACCTGTTCACTTACTTATTGCAGTGGTTGAGCTTCTTACATTGTCACTCTACATCATTATGATAGAAAAGACCTTCCTTAGTTTCACTGTGTTTCTCTGGATTGCATTTTAAAGGGCTCTGCAATATTGTGTTAAGGAGATCAGGTAAGGGTAGAGGTAGCTGGAAATTAGCATTTTGCTTATAAAATATATAATTACATTTCATATATTGTAACAAGTATCGGGCATAGTGTTTGCCTTCATTCGTGTTTGGTTGCTTCCATACTGCAGTTCTTTTGTTTAGTATTTTGATGTATTTCCAGAGTACAACCAGTTGTCTATAATATCCTTTCTTAAACATTTTAAAGGAATTAAGGCTTGAGAAATCTAGACTAATGGACTTAGTTAAGGGAAGAGATGTTTTTTATGTGTTGTTGATAAAAAGCTTCATGTTGTTAATTAGAAAAAGACACCTATATGTATGTAAAGTCTAGTGTAAAATTAAAAAATCTCTTTTTATAGGCTAAAATGCAGGTTGATCAGGATGATGGTAATCACAAGAACCAAACTGACCAGCACAATCAAGCGGAAGAGGATGCTGATCATATAGTGGCCGAAGGAAAGGTAAGTATGCAGTACAAGTAAAGACAGGATGATGATGGTGATGATGATGATGATGATATTTATTTATTTATTACCTGCTTTTTCTTGCGGCTCGAGGTGTGACACAACATAGTTAACTACATCTGTAAAGTCACATATTAGAATACACCCATGAAGGATATATTAAAACATATAATACATATTAAAATATGTGAGACAAAAGTTAAAACACAATAAACATAGAATGTGATTTAAAATTCATAGTTAAAATTGACTAGGTAGGTCTGCCAGAAGAAATAGGTTTTAAGTTGTGTCTTAAATTCTGACAGCTCATTTAGCTATCGGAGGTTTTCCAGCAGGTCATTCCACAGTTTTGAGGCGGCCGATGAAAAGGTCCTCTGATTGGCAATCGCCAGTTGGGTTCTATCCTTATTTAAGGCTGTTTTTGAAGACATAGACTTCAATTTTAGGATAGGGTTGACTGTCTTGCCATATTGCTGAGAGCTATTTAAACAAGACACATACAGTCTGAGAAGTCTTCCATAACTTAGTTGTCTGTACGCATGAATTTTGATACCTTGAATATGTGTGTTTCATTACACACATATGCAGGGTCCAGTAATCTTCATAGTGTTGTTTTGATAAGGGGGATTAAGTTTACCACACATTTTTCCTGTAGATACTAACAGGCTGGCTATCTTTTGACTTTTAATCTAAAGCCCTTCTGATTGAATTTTCTTTTCAGTTGGTTCTTAAAGTATTCTTCTTACTTGACTTGTAAGTATTCTGTAGGAACAAAAATTACCCTGTATTGTCAGGCATTAAATAGCACTGTCTTTAATTATTTTTCCATTTTAAATCAATAAATAAATTGAATTTTTAAGAATTATGAACAGACTTGTGGCTGTTCAAAATCACAAAGAATTCCATCATGGCCTACAGAAATGGCCATAGTGCCAACATATTGGTATCATTTCTGTATCATTAGATTTTTGGATACCATGCTCAAGTGTTTCAGAATGCTGAGAGATAATTTTATTATGTCATTGTGCAGACTGCTTCAGGAGACAAGCTTGATGCAAATCAGTCCACTAAAGCTAAAGCAAAGGTCAAGAGTATTGATCTACCTATTCAGGTTAACCTGTACAGACAAGTGGGACAAGACCTTATTAATTGCTTCATTGAAAATGAGGTAAGGAATGACTGTGACATTATAGTTGTTCTCACTCTAATTTAAAAGAATTAAGAAAAAGAAGAGAGATGAGGATTTTTGTGTGTTTTCTTAGAACGTTGTGATCAAGCAATTGATACATGAAAAGAAATATAAAAAGGAATAAAGGATACTGAGGCCAGGAATTTTTGAGTTCCAGAATGAAATATTTCTTATACACAAAGCTCCATCCCAGTCCTCCCACTATCCCCATTCTTTTCTTAATTTTAGCAACATGAATTAGGCTGGGAATGGCAAATGAGTGTGTGTTTGCTATTGAACAATCAATATTAAGAATTCTTTGTCAGTCTATTGAAAATCACCGAATAGATCCCTTCTGCCTATCCTTGCTGTAAATCATCATTAAATAAATACATTTCAGGCAATTGTAACATTTTAAAATATGTTTGTTTGCCGGGTACAGGGTGTATAACAGCAGTGTTTCTGGTAAAAAGATATCAGTGATTTTTGTTGTGGGAGATTATGAAATCATAGTTGAAAATAATAACCTCTTTCTACATGCAAGAAATGTAATATTTAAATGGCAAAATAAATCAACGTGTCACATTTACATTTATTTTAAGAATATTATATTCTTACAGGGAAAGATGATAATGCAAGACAAGTTGGAAAAGGAGAAGAATGATGCCAAAAATGCTGTTGAAGAATATGTGTATGACCTAAGAGACAAGTTGTGTGGCGTCTATGAAAAATTCGTAACTGAGGATGTAAGAACCTTCATGTTTTTATAACATGATAAATTTATTCTATTAGTAATAGAATTTAATACTAAAGAGACTACTAAATTGGACATATCACATTGGGTCATTCCATATTTATTTGTTCATAGATCATGCAGATCAGTAAGATTTAACTAAATCTGGAAGCCGGCTCTGGGTATCTTTGACAGCTTTACATTAATGCCATTGTCAATTGTCATGGCAAGTCTTAATAGCGTAGTATCGTATTCCATGGTATACCTTCCATATCCAGTATTGTTGGAATTGGGCATTTTCTTGTCTCCCATGACTACTCTCTAGAATTATCCTCAGCCCTCTGGATCAGATTTGGTGTGCACTTGCAAGGGAAGACAGAATTGGAAATTCTTGCAAAAGGAATGGGGTTGGGCAGAAGAATAGTAATAGGTCCTGATCACAGAGAAATGTATGAAAGATTGCTGAAGGAATTGGAATGATGTTAACCTGTTATTAGTTTGGCTCCTACAGCAAATCAGCCGTATCAGTGGATAGAATACACCTTATATTTTCTCAGAACACAGACCATAGGGCTATGAGAACGAAATACAGGAATCTGAAGGATCATATTATAACTTCTAAGTATTTCTATTTCCCAAGCTCTGTTTATTGAATACATTCATTAGAATATACTTACTATTGTGCAATTTGTTTTATTAGAAACTGAATTGGTTTTTCGCTATGGGCTGAGAATAAAATCTCAGGCTGTCTTCAAATGAAACCATTTTAATTGATTAAATAATTAACAGGCAGATAATTTGATTTATTTATTAAATACAAATGAAAGGCTTTGGCATGATTAGTGGGACTCTCGGGGTCAAGTTCTCAGGCTGCTTTGATTAGAAGGGATAATGCGATGTTTGCCACCTCTTTAGACATCCTGTTCCCTCTGAGCTGCAGTCCTCAAAATGGGGGGGGGGGGATGCCTTCCCAGCAATACATAAATTGTTTTCTGTGTTACCTCAACTCTAAAGACATTATTTTGAAAAACAGGACTATGCTGTAACTTGAAATAAATAAGTCCTTTTTTGAATGGAAGGACATCTTTACATTTTTTCTTTCCTTGTATTTGGTTTTTACATTTCATGTTTTTGTATTTCTCTGTGTTATAACATGATAATCATTGGCACTTTAAGATCATTGGGTTTTTAAAATAACAATCTCAAGTATCCATTGGCAGAAGAAATTAACTGGTGTGTGTCCTTTGGCATGAGTACAGATTTAAGTGTTAAGTTTTTAAATGTGCTGAAGTACATAAGTATAGATTAAACTGAACTAGAAAGGTATTTCTGAGAGGTGTTTAAGTGGAATTACAGCTTTCCTATACATCTTGATTAATTGACCATTAGACTTACTTTAGTCAGTTATATTCTTTACTCTGCCTTTCAGAATATGAATGCATTATACAAACAGAAAAAATGCAGAAAATGTGTGTGAAGGGTTGCCTTTAGAAACAAGAGTGTGGTATCCTTGAAATACCTATAACAAAAAAACCTTTCCATGAATTTCCATGACCTGTTAATATATCTTAGCACAAGTTTCAGAAGTTTGTGGCTCTCTGAATGAGTTAAACTACAGCTGTGCCCTTTCCCACTTAGCTTAGGAGTGTCATACTTGTAGTCCAACATATGAAAAGATGCCATTTCCTCACTCTTTCCTTAACAAGACCATGAGATAATTAGCATGTATATACTATTTTGGTATTTGTATTGTTCTTCCTAGGATTCAAGAAAGATATCTTTAATGTTGGAGGATACTGAAAATTGGCTTTATGAAGATGGAGAAGATCAACCAAAACATGTATATGTGGAAAAACTTCAGGAAATGAAAGTAAGACCTGTAATCATGGAACTGTAATTCTTGAATTTACTTGCTTTTTCTCAGCCATTCAGTAATCCTGTATGACATGAAGTACCTGTGACAAAAGTAAATACCATATATACACAAGTATAAGCCAATGTTTTCAGCCTTTTTTTAGGCTGAAAAAGCTCCCTTGGCTTAGTCAAAGTTATTGATTATTTTACTGGCAAGAAGTACAGTCATTCCTCAATATTTGCAATTCTCAGCTTTTGATTTTTACAGACTTTTCAGTTCTCACCTCTGGACTAAATGGATGTGCAAATGAGAATGGGGGCTTCTTGGTGCTGATCCATTTCCCCATCTTTGTTTGAAGAGTTTCTAGCCTTAATTTCCAAAAGTATCTTGCATTCCTATGCCAATAATTATATAAACTTTCTTTATTTTGAGCATATGAGGAATGGGTCCAGACGTAAACAAAAGTATAGTCACATAAATTAATGCAGTTTAAATTGGTTGACCAACATAAGCCTCACTGAAGCCATTGTGTCTCTTCTTTGTATTACTCAGTTTCACTCTATGGTGTTTCCCCCACATTTTATCCACTTTTTGTTAAGTATTCTGCAGCTTATCAACAATCTTTTGTATGTATTTATAGAAATTGGGTGGTCCTGTTCAAGATAGATACATGGAACATGACGAAAGGCCAAAAGCATTAAATGATTTGGGAAAGAAACTCCAGTTGCTTATGAAAGCAGTTGAAGGTTACAAAAATAAGGTAGGATCAGTATGTTGCATGTTTCTAACTGCATTCTTCTGTGACATTCTTATTTGTTCAGAAGCAAGCTAACCATACATTCAGTAAGACTTACTCAGCACCCAAATAATAAGGAATAACAGCTGTCAAAGTGATTTGGAAACCCAGGTTGAACTTGTGTTCTGTTTTCCCAATTTCTCTGCCAGTAGTGAAACATTCAGATGTCACATTATTGAGCTTCCTTAACAGTAGTTTAAGGTTACCTTAATGAATTTTGAACCCAATTTTTCTCTCTCTCTAGGATGAAAGATATGACCACATTGATCCTGTTGACATGGAAAAAGTTGAAAAGTATGCCAGTGAGGCTATGAATTGGTTAAACTCAAAAATGAATGCACAGAACAGACTGAGTCTGATGCAAGATCCTGTTGTGAAAGTGGCAGAAATAATAGCAAAAGCTAAGGTAAATAATGGGGGGAAAATGTTCATGTGCACAGATGTCTGAGGAATAAAATTATTATGAGCAATCGTGAGGAATGAGCATTTAATAAAAGGAATTCAGCAGGGCATTTTAATCTCACAATTTTCTTGTTATTCGACTAACTACAAATTTATTGTTTATTTCAAACATTTGTACCCCGTCCTTCTCAACCCCCCCCCCCCCTTGGGCAGGGGGGACTCAGGGCAGCTTACAGCCGGCAGCAGTTCGATGCCAACACATACAAGCAAAACAATATAACACACATTAAACATTAGTCAAAACATTAAGTTATAAAATATCCATTTAAAACATTATTCACAACAATATAGCCACATCCAAGTCCAATTCGGCATCCAGACACCCAATCCAAAGCCTGTCCACTATTATCCTGTCCAAAGGATCGATTACAACTAACTGATAGGCTTTTAACCATGAGTGATAAGAGCTTCTATTTACTTCTTTACAGTAAAGACTACAATTTTTACTTTATGTATATGTGTGTGTTCATGCAAATGCTACAGAAAAGAAAGCAGTATCGCAGTTCTGAAACTCCTATAGTCTGATCCTTCGCATCAAAAGATTTCCACAAAACTGGATAATTCTCACTTTTTTAGATAAGCAGGAGAGAAACAATTCCTTTTATACTATTGAAAGACAGCAAGAGCTGTTTTATATGTATGATTTTACTTGAATAATAAAATTGGTGGATGCTCAAACCCCATTATATACAATGGTGTAGTAAAACCATTGACGGTTGAATCTGTAGATAAGGAGGGTTGACCATATCTAGTTTAGCCAAAATAATTAAGGGTAATTTTCATTACTGGAGGATTTTCAGGCTGATTTACAGTATATATGCTTGTTTATATATTAGAAAAGGTATGGGCAAGCCCAAGCCCAGGAGCCGAATGCGGCCCCTTGGGCTCTTTTCTCACCATCCTATCCTATCCTATCCTTCCTTCTCTCTTTCCTTCCTCCTTCCCTTCCTCCCTTACCTCCCTCTTTCTCCCTCCCTCCTTCCCTTCCACCCTTTCGTCCTTCGTTCTTTCTCCCTCCCTCCCTCCCTCCTTCCCCCTCTCTCTTTCTCCTTCCTTCCTTCCTTCCTTCCTTCCTTCCTTCCTTCCTTCCTTCCTTCCTTCCTTCCTTCCTTCCTTCACTACCTTTTGTCTTTCCTTCTCTCTTTTCTCCCTCCCTCCATTCACTTCCTCCCTTTCTTCCTTCTCTTTTTCCTTCTCCCTTTCCTCCTGGGAGATGTTTAGCTGGGAGAACAGACTGTTGAGAGGGAACATGAGAACCATCTTTCAAGATTTAAAAGTGTGTCCTATTGAGTAGGGGAAAAACTGACTTTTTGCTGGGCACAAGGGAGCAATGGTTTCAAATGGCAGGGAAAGAGATTTGGCTGAAAAAAATAGGAATGACTTCCTGAGAGTAACTGCTGTTGGAGAGTGGTGTAGGCTGCCTCTGAGTCTGGTGGAGTCTCCTTCTCTGGAGGCTTTTCCACAGAGGCTATGTATCAGGAGTGATTTGATTGTGCCTTCTTGCATGGCAGGGGGATGAACTGGAAGGCCCTTGGGGGTCTCTTTCAGCTCTAGGATTCTAGGAATATATATCAGGAGTAGGCAAAACGGGGTCTAATGGATACACTTTTGCTCTCCTGTCCACCATCTCATCCTGACCAAGGCTAACCCTTTTTGGGATCCAAACCTTTTCTGTCTGTCCTTCACGTTCTGCTTCCAAAAGAGAAGAGGAAGGGGAGGAAAGAGCAGGGAGGGGACTTGGAGAGAACCTCCTCCCTCCCTGCCCGCCCACCCTGCACAGCAGCAAAAAGTGCACTCTTTGTAATTTGGCCCAAAAAGATGTGCATTACAGTGGCTGCATGCTAAGAAAACAAAAGTGTTAGAACACCAGAGCTTTCAGCAGTGGAAAAGAAAACCTTGGGGTGCATCTCTGCTGTAGAATGGATCCATTTTAGCTGCCTTGGTTCAATGCTATGGAATCATGGGGGCTGCCAAAGAATGCTGATGCCTCACCAAACCAAGATTACTAGATTATGCGAATCTATTGTATACCCTAATTTTGGGAATATTATTTAGCCAAAAAAAGATGAGCATTACATATGAGTAAACAGAGTATATAACTTTTTGTTTTGTTTTGTTTTTTTAAACAGGAACTGGACAATTTATGCAATCCTATTATTTACAAGCCTAAACCCAAGGCAGAGCAACACCAGGCAAAATCAAATGCTGAACACAATGGACCAATGAATGGACAGAGTGCTGCTGACACAAAACCAGAGGACTGTTGCCAACAGCCCAGATCATCTGAAGAAATGGACATGGACTAAGCTTTACATTTCTTTCAGTCCATTAAAACAGTGCAAGTAATCTGAGGGTCCATCTTTCTTTTATGTCTTATCCACACTACAGATGTTCAGTTACTTAGTCAACTTTCTGTCCTTTGTTCTTTGCAGTCAGTTTGAAAGTGGTTTTTTCCCTCTCTCTTGAGTGCATTCCCATTGTTCATTCCATTGATGCGCTTATGTGAAGCTTTAGTTGAATGTAGATTGTAAAAGTCAGTCCAAGCTTTCCCAATCTATTTTATATTAAATAGGCAGAATTGTTATATACATTACAACAATTTACCTTATTTAAAGCTTTTATTGTGGGTAAGCTTCTGCTCCTTTATTCAGGAAAGGCCACCGTATTGCACTATTGATGCTGAAGCGTAGACCTTTGCATCTTTATTTTGGGAGATAGTGGATTTGATGTGGCTTAAACTTTGCCACTTGAAGCACTGACCTTTTTCTAGTTGTTGAACTGTTCTGATTTAAATATTAAATTAGAGGTTAGCTGGCAAAACTAGTTCATCCTGTTGATGTACCATGAAAACTTGTAAGAACCTTTTAGGAAAAAACCCAACATCCAAGGCTTGAAAGAAGCTCACACCAGCAGCATTCTTTGTTATAAAACTTAGCAACATGACTCTAAATAAAGCTCATGATCTCCATGTACACACAGTCCTGTATATGATAATCTGTGTTAATTCTGAGACACTCTTGAAGTTATTATAGTGCAAAATGTTAGGAGAATTTTAACAGCTGACAGTGGGGAGAAGACATGTTTTCATTTCTCTTAATTACCTCTCTAACTTGCTGGTTTAGCTTCATTCAGAATGCTGCCTATGCATGTTTCTCAAATACAATCTCCTCACAATTAAAAATAGAAAATATGTGCATAAAATGGTTATAAAATTGTATTACTCTTACCTTATGTGTTTTTACCACATGACAAAATGTTACTCTGTTTTTGCATCTGACGTTATGAAAAGAAGCAAAATCTGTTAAAAGTGGTTCATTTTAGAGCAGTGGTTCTCCACCTGTGGGTCGCCAGGCGTTTTGGCCTACAACTCCCAGAAATCCCAGTCAGTTTACCAAGTTGAAGGCCAAAACATCTGGGGATCCACAGGGTGAGAACTACTGTTTTAGATGGATCTGCATAAGAAAAGGAAGAAAATGGCAGCTCATTTTTTTCAGGAGGCAGGGACAATTCACCATTAAATCAGAAAGACAGTGCAGACAGGTTGATGGTATGTTGGTGATACAGTATAACCTTGGTATTGCATGGTCTACAGTTCCACTCTGTGACCCTTTTCCAAACCTTTTAAAACAGGTAAATAAAGGAACATTCAACAACATTTTTTGCTAATTTTTGACAAGAGGGATAGTCTTCTGTAAATTTAGGCAAATTGTTTCACATGGAGCATTTGGCACTAAATGGAGCAAGGCATCCTCACAACACATCAATGCACATTTGTTAGTGCTGCATAAATAAACAATAACAATAGCATCCTAGTACAACAGTGTATGTACTTCATGAAGGATGGAAGTGTTCAGTATTTCCTTATACAGCAGCCAGCACCCTTGTCAGTAGAATATCTATTGGGCAGGACATGTCCATAGCCAGAGAGGTGCTGCCTTTTAGGCTGCATATAGCTGCAAACTCCACAGCTAAGGGAAAAGAAAAGCCAGCACCCTCCCAGATCTCCAGCATATGCAAGAGTACATCTAGAGTACTCGTTGGAAATCTAGAAGGATGGTGTCTCTTCTTCCAGTTGAAGAAGTGCAGCCAGACACTCCTATAACACTGAAAATATGAAGTAAGCTATGCCAGAATTAATATTGGCTGTTGTTGAGTAATGATTTATTCCTAAAAAGGTTTGGAAGAGAGAGTACCAGGCTGTGACTCTGGACTGACTCACTGTTTTTCATATGGACCATATTGGCCATGGGAATGGATGTTTGGTCATGGTGACTTAATGACTTCAGTCGGTTTGAAGTGCTTATATCTTTACACAATGATCAGACTGACTCACAGAGAACTTGTGTGTTTTCAACAAATAGCATTACCAATATTATAAAAGTTGCCAACCAAATTCTCTGTTTGTTTTATCTATATACTGGTCATTATGAAAGTCTTGCCTCGATCACAGAGCATCATCCATTCGAATGTTATCTGAATGGCCATCCATGATCAAATCTCATTTTGGAAACTTTCTCTGCACTCTGATTTCTATTGGACTTTATAGCTTATTACCCAAATAAGGCCCACAAACAATATTGACAGGAAATATTGCTATAAAGTGCTTGATGGAAAGAAACAACTCAAACCCATGGTGAACAACAATGAAATGCCTGGAAAGCTGCATACATGTTCACTATGCATGCCAATCTATAAGAAAGGAGAATTGTTCTGGAGTCCAAAGTAAGCCAGAAGTTGCATTTCAGTACAAAACATCAATTGTTACTGAATTTTCAAGGAGTTCACCTAACTTAACAGATCTTGGTTAGGTTACTGTTTAATTTTCTCTGGCTCTTAATTTTAAAAGAAATTTTGAAATCTATCATTTAAGTGTCTTTCATTTTAATTTGGTGAAATTTTAAATTAACTATAGTTGTTTACTTAACTTTTATTCTTACTTAAACCATTGTTGGTTTTTTTTAATCTTCCATTTTCGAGAATTCTGCCAGCCTTCATTTGCTTCCTGAAAAGAAGTTCCTTAACTAAAAGGGCTGGATTAACAAACTATAAATATAAATATATTATCCTGAGAGTACAAGCTTCTCTAAATAATTTTCTTGACTCCTTTATTGCATAAAGTGGGTGTTCACAGGTTTAAAATCATGCCACAAAGCATGTGTGTATGTTGAATCTGAAAACACAAAGATCATTCATGGAAACATTTTTGCAGTTATTTGTATTTGGAGAAGAGAAACTTGCAAAACTGCAATCATTAGTTAACAAACAAGCTTCTATGTTAGTTTTTACAGCACTGTAAAGTTGTATGGGGAACTGTCGAGTGAACTGGGAGTACTCATCTTAAACATACTGACTGATGACACCAGAATTTTCATGTAAGATTGATGAAATGTACCCAAATTGTGAGGTCTCTTCATGACTTTAGGCACATTTTACCCAAAGTATAGAAATATGAGTCTGAATTGGGGAAAACACATTGACACAGGATGTCATTCAACTGCCATTTCCAAAGTGATCACTACAACAGATGTTTTATATTTAGCAAGTGTATTCTCATGTAACTATTTCAGTGGGTCAGAGGAGAGTCTGCTCAGCGTTCATAAATTTATGCCAGTGTTCAATGTATAAAAATGTTTGCTGTATTATGAAAATGGATGGACTCCTACCTAGCAACATGCACAGATGTGACAAATATGTCAAATGATTTCTAAGTGGCAACACAGATTGCCAAAGGTTGTGTGTAAATATTTATAATAAATATTTAAATCTGCTGATTGAACTATAAGAAACAGTCACATGAGACATTTTTATTGCCAACTCTTGATGGGATTAAATACTGGTAGGTGTAATGTCCATGAAGAGGGGATTGATCTGTTAACAGAAAGTTAAAATATGTTAAAACATCAAGACTAATCTTTACTTATCTACTACTTTTGATCATTGTACATTGGAGAAAAGCAGTTGAGCTGCCTGAAATTGCACTCTAGACTTCAAAGGTATTTCTGTCAGAGCTCAAAAATCTTTCCCAGTCTGGATTATTAGCAGCCACAATTCTTCTAATCAGTATCATTCTGTTTTGACATGAGAAATGACTGACAGTGTGGGAAACATCCACTGACTTCCCCTTCTTCAGCTATAATTATCATGCCAGATCAGATTCTGGTTGAATGTCTTAATGATACCTCAATTTTCAGGGCTCTTCAAGGTTGAATCTGGAAGGAAGGAGAGGTGAGGCTAAAGCCTCATTTTACAAGAATAGGGGTTTTTATGCAAGACATTGCAAGTAAAGGTGAAACTGCTTGGAAGAGTTACTTTTTGGACTATAAAACTGAGAATACCTTAATTAAGAGATTAAATATCCCAATCTCAGAAAACAAGACATGTCGACACAACAAGCAACAAATCACTTTGAATACTGGATAATATGGCAAAGTCAACAGTAGAATAAGCGAAACTTAATGTTTGCATAGCCTTCTTTCAAAAGCTAGTGTGATTGTAATCACAGATAGTGTGATTGTAATCACAGGCAAAGCACTTAACTATGCATGTTTGATTCACTCATCCTTATATAGGCATTTACCATATATATTTGATGATCCAATAAATTGTCCCGCTGCAAGACTATCCACAATTGTAATGAAATGACTCACATGGCATAATAGACACAAAGGGAGCCCTGGGTAAAAAAGAACTGGCTACATCAGAAGGCAAAACAACGTGCCCACTTCACCTGACAAATATTGGGACAAACACACTTTATTTTTTTCCGTAAAGTTGTTTGAAGGGGAGTAGAAGATGGATCAGATCAGGGTGGAAATGGTTATGTATTTTAAAAGTATATTAAAAGGTATTTATTTTAAAACAACTTTAAAATAAAAATAGAATGCTCAACTGCGAACTGTATGCAATGCGTACTAAAAAACGCTGTGGGAATTGTGTCTTTAGATCATTCTTAACTGACAATCTTCCAGGGACATGTGCATTTTCATAACTCAGCAGGGCACCATTGGGAGCAAAAAAGCCAAGCACCAGCAGTGTGTGATCCAGGTGTTGTTGTTTATTCATTCAGTTGCTTCCGACTCTTTGTGATCGCATGGACCAGCCCATGCCAGAGTTCCCCATCAGTCATTGCCACCTTGCCCCTGTTCCCTTTTCCTTCCATTTTCCCCAGCATCATTGTCTTCTCTATTCTTTCCTGTCTTCTCATTATGTGGCCAAAGTACTTCATCTTAGCCTCTTAAAATCCTACCCTCCAGTGAACAGTCAGGCTTTATTTCCTGGAATATGGACTGGTTTGATCTTGCTCTCTCAGAATTTTCCTCCAGCACCACAGTTCAAAAGCATCTATCTTCCTTCACTCAGCCTTCACTCAGGTGGTAAGAGTTATTGAGGAAGAGCACACAAGCCAGGAAAGACTGCAGCATTTTGCTTTTGCCTGAGGCTACAGAAATTGGCAAAATTCCACTCCCTCTCATCTTCCTGCTGATTTAACAACTTTTGCACTTTAAACTCACTTTGCAGTAACTTAAATAAACAGGACAAAGGGACAATAGCACACTCCCCATACCTATTGGCCCTCTCCCTCCCTCCCTCTAAAGCTACCAGCAACAGATAACTTAGGGAATGACGGCAGTCCACATATTACCATTTTACAAAGCACTTCCCTAAAAGCTCTGAGTTCCACTGCACATCTATCTGCAGTTTCCATTGTACTACTGTCATATTTCTTTCCCTGTGTTTAGTTTTACTACAGTATGCATGTTTTCTCTTTATTTCCCTTCACATTTTGCTCTCACTTTGTATTTACCCACAGGTGTCTTGCACTTTTTGTCTTCCATTCTCACTCTGGTTTGCTTCCATCATGTGTACACATATGTGGGATATTTCCATCCGCTCACGCCTTTATGCACCTCCTTACAGAGTTTGTAGTTGTGTGCCTTCAGGTCATTCCTAATGCATAGCAACCTGCATGGAAAGCTATCACAGGGATTTTTAAGAGATGAGAGTACATGATTTGCCCAGGATCACCCAGTAAATTTCATGGCTGATGGGGGCATTCGAGCCCTGGTCTCCAGTAGTAACTCAACCCAACTATTAGATTACATTGGCTCCCTTTAGCAATCCATGTCCTGAAAATAGCTGGGGCAAATGTGGTCCTGTACTGCAGCTACTTGACTGCAACAAGATGTAAAACTTGTTTGTTATCTGTTTGTTTGTTTGTTTCTTTATTTATCGTGTCAGGAGCGAACCAAAACAAACAAACAAAACACAAAGTTTGCAGACTTGGTATTCTATTAAATGTCCTTTAACCAGTAGTTGGCCACTTGGTGTGCCTCTAGTGTTGCTGCAAGAAGGTCCTCCATTGGGCTCAGGTTGCATTGCAGTAGGTGGTCTGTGGTTTGCTCTTCTCCACACTCACATGTCGTGGATTCTACTTTGTAGCCCCATTTCTTAAGATTGGCTCTGCATCTCATGGTGCCAGACCACAGTCTGTTCAGCGCCTTCCAAGTCGCCCAGTTTTCTGTGTGCCCAGGAGGGAGTCTCTCATTTGGTATCAGCCATGGCTTGAGGTTCTGGGTTTGAGCCTGCCACTTTTGGACTCTCGCTTGCTGAGGTATTCCAGTGAGTGTCTCTGTAGATCTTAGAAAACTATTTCTTGATTTAAGTTGTTGGTGTGCTGGCTGATACCCAAACGGGATGTGCCGGAGATGTCACTGCCTTGGTCCTTTCACCATTGGTTACTACTTCCCGGCATCACCTTCCCGGATGTCAGGTGGTGCAATACCAGCTAAACAGTGTAATTTCTCCAGTGGTGTAGACATCCCGTGATAATGCGTGTCTCATTAAGAGACACATCCACTGTTTTAGTGTGGTGATATGTGTTCCACACTGGGCAGCAGAGTAGCAAAGCACAAGGACAAATGTCTTCACTGTGACTGGTTGTGATCCCCAGGTTATGCCAGTCAGCTTTTGTATAATTTCTAGTGTCCACTTTTTGCTTGATATTCAGGCAGTGCTTCTTATAGGTCAAGAGCATGGTCCAGGGTAACTCCCAGGTATTTGGGTGTGCTGCAATGCTCCAGTGGGATTCCTTCCCAGATAATCCGCAGAGCTCGAGATGTTTGTCTGTTCTTAAGATGAAAAGCACATGTCTGTGTCTTAGATGGATTAGGAATCAGCAGGCTTTCCCTGTAATAGGCAGTAAGAGCACCTAGAGCTTCGGAGAGCTTCTGTTTAACCATCTCAAAACAGGGAGCTTGAGCAGTGATGGCACGATCGTCAGCATAGATGAAACTCTCTGACCCTTCTGGCAGTGGGTGCTCATTTGTGTAAATGTAAATATTCAAAACCTTAATTTTCACCATATGCCAAGCACTACTCTGATGTGTGAATAAT